CTGGAGCCGCCCGGCGCCCGAAGGAGAGGTGCAGTACTGTGCTGAGCTGGTGCGGTGAGTGCCCGGGGTCGGGGGAGGCCTGCAAACGCTTGGGTTTCCCTCTCCTCAGGGGTCAGGGAGTCTGTCTGAGGAAGGGCTGTGAGCGCTTCCCTCCTGACGGAAAGGCTGCCGAGTTTCCTGCAAAAGCTGACTGGAGTTTCCCCCCGGCGGCCCTCGGCCCCGCCTGGGCATGCCTGGCCGCGAAAATAACCACGGCGGCCGTGAGGTGAAGGGCGCCGGTGGATGGGGTTGCTCCGGGAGCTCGCCTTTTCGGGGGGAGCAACGGAAACTAGATAAATATTTAAGCTACGTGGATGATTTAACCTGTAAACGGCAATTTCCCTCCTCCTGCTTCTTTCACAGCTGCTTTTCTTCTGAAATATTGAATGTTTCCATTTCTTTGTCTCAGCTTTTTGGAGAGAAAGATGACTGAAGTGGATGTTTAAAAATAATGGATGTTTTCAGATCTTTTTGGACACTGGGAGATAGCCAAGCTTCTCAAGTACTCCTTGGAAATAAGCACAAACAGAGGAAGTCCGACAGCTGGACAGACAGCTCAAGTAGCTTCTCCGACCTGAATGCAGGAGGGAGAGGAAGTCTAGTTTTCAAAAGTATCCATTTTTGGTCAAATCCAAAATGCTCTAAGAGGAGCAGGAGCGTTGCTCAGGCTCTTCCAGGCCATGCGACGTTTCCTGTTTGGCTTCTAGGCCGTAAACAATGTGCAAGACCCCTTAGCTGCTTTCTAGTCCACGAGAGTTCAGAGGTACAAAATAAAAAAATAAACAAGTCTCTTTGCAAAGACTTAAGTAATTTCTCAGTAGTCCTAGATGAGTCACAAAAGCAAGGAGAAGGCTTCCAAGCATGTATAGGAGTGGAACAGAATTATCTTCTCCAGACTGATGCTTGTAAAGGATACAGAGGTGTGTGTGGTCAGCACTGATGTTTGTCACATTTCTTTCCATTAGTTTTCCTACTTCAGTCTTAAACTTTCTGTGCAGCACCCAGCAGCAGACCTTTACAGATTCATTAGAATGCATAGCCAGGTCGCATTGTCCTTGATAAAACTTCATATTACAGCTTTGTTTTCCTAGTTATACTACCCAGAATTTATTTACCTTTTATGCAGAGGCTGCATGTACAGTTAATATGCAGGTAAAGTTAACATATACAGGTAAAGTGTTTACAGTAACAAACAACTGTGAACAGAATAGTTACGTTCTAAGGCACAGAAGCTGAGATGGTTGAATTAAAGCTTTTTGTTATTTTTGTTAAAACATGAAACATATAAACTTAGAAAAACAACAGCATTCAAAATAATAAAATGAGAGATGGTGATGGTTTTGGCATCATTTAATTGAAGCTGCTGTTCACAGTAGCTCATATATTGCATGGAAATTATAAAAAATGAAGAGGAAGGAGTTACTGTTCAGTAAGAAATAAAACACTTGAGGCTATACAAGCGTCAGCAACTCCCCAGTCCTGAATTTGCATCTCCCACACATTAGGAAGAACGACTGAGTTATGCTTTAACGATGTAGATTTGTGCAACTTTTTGCGATGGGCAAGATGTCCTTTCTCTTGGGGTTTCCTTTTTCTGTTAAACAACTCTTTAAAGTAGCTTTAAGCTATTTGATTAAAAATACATTTCCCTAGTAGGTGTGTGTTCTGTCTCTTGCTGTTTATGATATCTGCTCTGGAAGACATGCTTATGGCTTGATGGTATTACGGAGTTTTATAACATGGAATAAATTCATTATACTGAAAGTGCAGTAATGGTCATATTCAACTTTTCTTCCATGTGTGGGTTCATATGTAAGCTTATACTTATTTGGGAGGGAAACTGTGAAAAACAGTCCATACCAGACTTAAAGTCATTCCCTCCTTTCTTCATTCCTTACACTAATACCTGAAGAGAGTTGGGGTGGAACATGATCTGTAGCAATATCAGTTTTATTTTACAGGCTGAAGCTTAATGGATTTGCTTTTCTGCGGTTAGGTCCAAGAGTGCACTGTCAGCATAAAATTCACATTTCCTTCTGGTGTTTTTTTTCTTAACTTTTTTTTGCTACACTTAATTTTTAAGCTTAGAATAATTGAAAAACAAAACAACCAACATTCCAACACCATTACTAGAAGGAAGACATTTCTCTGTTTTGCTGCTGTATACTTTGTGTAATGTGTTTCTTTGTTTACTTTATGGAAATAGAGGTGGTTCAGTGTTGTGTGAACAACCCAGGCAAATTGCATAGCTAGAACTGGGAAAATGGGGCTGTAAACCTTGCCCAGGGTGGGCAATACTGGGTATTACTACGGTCAGCCTTGAAAAAAATGCTAGGTTTTGAGCTGATAATACTTTCCAGAAAGTGTCTTAATTGAGGGAGGTTTGATGCCTCTGTTCTTTAATATGGTGACCTTTAAAGCCTGCTAAAATTCACAAATGATACTTTTTTTTTGTTGATGCTTCTGGATTTGCATCAAGCTCTAAAACAAGTTTCACAACTGTTGTGAAAGCTCTAAGCATTTGCTAGTTATCAGCTGCTGTGTATTGTAGGGGTAAGAACCTCTGTAATCTCACTTCCTTTGTGTTTGCTGCTAAAAGTAGCAACCCTAATAACGCGTGGTTTAAGCTTTGCTATTTTAAGCTCACATTCAAAAGAAATATGAGTACATGTAAGAACAGCAAACTTCGTGAAAATGAGTAAATGTTTTCCTTGTCCACCTGCATCTCCACTCTCGAGGTGACACTTGGAGTTGCTGGTCTTGTTCTAATGAAGAATCAGGTTACAGGCTTATGAGAAGGTACCTAAGAATGTTGTTCAAAACAAGCAATTTAGCTGTTCAGAGGTGACCAAGTGTTTTTGTTAGCTACAGTTATGTATGATTTTGCAATTTATGATTCTGTGCACTGTGATTGTTTTTAATTTAATGGCACACCCAAGTGGCCAAACAGAGGCATATCACTCTAGACTGGCAACAAGTTACCTGCAACAAAACTGCCAAGACCTGGAGTTTTTGTGCTTTGAATATAGTTGCCAATAAACAAGAACTTAGTGGTTAAGCAAGCGCTCTTCTGCCAAGCTCCCAAGCACAATCTTTTAAAGAAATGTAGTTTCATGTTTGGAACAGAAGTCTGGAAGTTGGACAATCTGGATTCTATTTGCAGTTCTGCCACAGCCTTGTTCCATGCCTTAGCCAAATATGTAGAGATCTGGATTTGAGAGGTGGACTGGGAGTTCAGACAGCATCCCCTATCTCTTGGAGTTTATCTTATTTTAAAATAAGCTTAAAAGCTGCTACTTTTGCAAAGTCAGAGTTTTGAACTATAACTTATTGCTTCTATTTTAGGAGTTCAGTGCTAAGTAATAGCACACCTAGTTTACATAGAGCTACACCCAAGGTACATAGAGCTATAAATAATAAATGTATTTTTTCATCCTTTTATAGAAAGCGTGACTATGAAGGGTTTCTGTGTTCTCTGCTGTTACCTGCGGAATCTCGAACCTCTGCTTTTGCCTTGAGAGCCTTCAATGTGGAACTGGCTCAGGCAGGTATTAAAATACATTTGTGAACTCTGAAAATGTAAAATAACAGTTTTGATATACTAAATTACACTAGTAGGTGGAGTTTTGCCAAGATTAACTTTTTGCACTATAAGGGCCAATGAATAAATAGTGCAATACAAGGCTCTAGTTTTGAATAACCCGTGGAAAGTAGCCAGCCTCCCCCAATTTTTTTTTTTTTGTGTACCGTTTTTCTGACTGTCCTCTTTGTCGTGCATTTTAAAATTAAATGATAACAAACAGGCGGTGGTCCTTGATACTGTTATGTGATTGCATATATGTCCTGGCTTCAAGTGCAGCCACTGAATCCTATCTGTAGGTCTATCAAAAGCTTGGATAATATAATCAGTCCCAGGTTTTTGTTGGCAGAAGCTAGGTGATGGAAAGGCTGCCAAGAGGGAAGTTTGTAATTAGAGAGTTGTGGGAGGGGAGTGGCTGCAGTCTCTCCCCTTTGCTAGGTGGCCCGAAACTGCCAGTGCAACCAGGAAAGTTGGTAACGCTTGCCAGAAAGGAGCAATCCAAGAAATGTGCTGAGAAAGCAAAATCCAAGATCAACTTCTGTGGGCTGTGCTTCTGCCAACCTGTGGTGCTGCCCTCGCTGCTGTTAACACTGCTGCTTTTCCTGCTGGGAAGCAAGCCAACGTGAGGATTGCCCAGAACTTAATTTCTCTGTGTTTCAAAGTCAGGTGGTAGTGAAGATTTTTTTTTTTTTTTTAAACTCTCTGTAGTGTTTATATGCTTTGAAGAATAAACGGAAATTCAGA